TCTCCTGCCTCAGTCTCCGGAGTGTTGGGATTACAGGTGTGTGCCACCATGCCGGAGGGAAATTCATTCCTTTTTTTCTTACTGTTAATTCCTTCCCTCACACTTGGCAAATATTGTCAATGCTATCTCTAAAATATGTTTGAATCTCTTTGCTTCTCCGTATCTCTTCTGCTGCTTATGCCCGTAGCCTCCTGAAATTGACCTCCTTGTATTGACAGTTGTGCACCTGCAGTCCTTCTCTGAGCTACAGTAACCAAAATGTTATATTAAAAATGAAAATCACATCATGTCAGCCCTCTGTTTAAAAACTCTTCTCTTACTTAGACTAAAACCCAGATGTCTTAATTACTTACATAATGTGCTCTGGTTTCTCTCAGTGTCTCTGATTTTGTTTTCTTAGTCTTTCCCTATCCTCTTATTATTATTCTCTATCCACCATGGGTCTTCATTCTGCCACTTGAACAGTGCAAGCTCATTCCTGTCTCAAAGCTTTTACCTAATTTTGACCCCTCTGTAAACTTTACAGACTAAGAATGTGGATTAGTTACTCTGGTTCAATTCAGAAGATGGCCCATCATTCTTTACTCTCTGCTGCCATCGTGGGGTCATATGAAGCACCAGGGACCTTGCCAAAGACCTGCTCTCAATATTTAAGAATATAGAAGCTACATTGTATTAATCCATTGGCTCTCAGGAATAAAGACCTCCAACCCCATGCCTATAAACAAATCACTGAAACACAGAAGTTTTCTCTATAAGGATTGATTTTGTCATTCACTTAAAATTGTTACTTTTATTTATATTTAATAGTTTTGCAGAGGCAGGGACATAGTTTAGCTTTAAATCACTGCTACTCATGGTGAAACTCTTATTTTACCAACGTTACATTCACAAGAAAGAAAATGATACATTTGAATTCTGTTAGCATTATTTAATCCTATAGCTTCTAGATTTTTTTATTAGTTAATCAATATAAAAATTTTGATATATATATATATACATATATATATATATATATATACATATATATGATATACAGTCATGTGCCGTATGACAATGTTTTGGTCAATGACAGAGCACATACATAATAGTGTATGAGGCATCCTTTGCATTCTTAGCATTCTTAGCATTCTAAGAATTCTAAGATAGTAGTATAACTACTTCTATCAGTAATGTATATAATACAGTAATATAATACTAATACTATGCATATAAGATTTGTAAATAAACGTACATGTATAGTCTGTCCCATAACGGGAGGAGATACCTTCTGAGAACTGTCTAATCAGGTAGTGTCCTTACCAAGTGAGCATTACAGAGTGCACTGACACATGGCAGAGCCAGGCCCTCAGCATGGCCTCTCGATGTGATCTAGGGATCCCCTAAGTATGTGATAAATGAGGCTGCTGCTGGAGAAACATGGTGTACTGTGTCACAGTCATCGGTTTTAAAAAGCAGGAGTATACTCGATGATAAAAGTACAATGTAACTAGTAACTTGGCCATTTATTATTAAGTAGTATATGACCACATAATTGTAAAATCTATTTTATTTAAATTATACATACTTTTGCCTATTTATAGAGTACATTGTGATGTTTCAGTACTTGAGGACAATGTATAATGAGCAGATTGTGGTAATTTGCACATCCGTCCCCTCAAACATTTAACATTTCTCTGTGTTGGGTGTGCTACTCTTATATGACTGGTAGCACAGTTGATTTATTTACACCACCATCACCACAAACACAAGAGTAATTCATCGTGTTACAGCCTTATTAGACTGTAATCACTAAGTGATAGGACTTTTTAACTGTTTTCATCTTGTAAAACCCCTATTGTATATGTGTCTGTCACTGACCCAAACATTGTCATATGTTACATAACTGTGTATCATTATATACTTCAAAATTTTTATATGGGTTAACTAATAAAAAAACACAGATTAAATGATGCTAGTAGAATTTAAATGTATCTTTTTTTTATAAATATAATGTAGGTAAACTGAGTTCCATTGTTTTCCATGAGTAGCCATGATCTCAAGTAAAAAAGATGTTAGAAAGCAAAAGGGGAAAATACATGAAATAAAAACTATCTCATTCTTTAAGCCTTCTGGAAACATTATTCTTCACATTCAATGTGATTTACAGTCAGAAATGTTTGATTTCTAACAAGAGAACTTTGGTTATAATACAGGGGATCTTATGCACAAACCAGAAGCACATTTAAAGATTTATTTATTTTATATAGTTTTCGTCTGTCTTTTTGAGAGGGTGTCACCCTGCGGTTCAGGCTGGCCTTGACCTCACTTTGTAGTCCATGCTGACTTCTAACTTGCAGTGATCCTCCTGCTTCAACCTCGTGAGTGCTGGGATTATAGGAAGGGGCCACTGTGTCCAGCCTTATTTGATGTATTTTTTTTGAAATCCATTTTATTTCAAAGAGAAAATAAAAACCTCACAGAATTTCAAAACATGTGAATCGGGACAGCAATGGACATACTACGCCTTGTCATCCCCAAATCATTCATCCAGAGCACAAGACATCTGCATTCAATTGTCAGAACAATACCAGCACAAATCGCTGTCTTCAGTGAAAGCCTTAGGAATTTGGAGTTTATGTCAAATTAGCAGTGTTACGTATTAGAAGTAACAGGTGGCCATAAAATAGTGGTTTTTTCTTAGATGGAGAAAATACAGGTTGAGCATTGCTAATCTGAAAATCCAAAATCTGAAACTTTTTGAGCACTTTCATATGCCTCGTGGAAGTTTCACATCTGATTTCATGTGACAGATCAACACCCAAAATGCAAATGTGCTAAAAATACTGTATAAAATTATCTTTAAGGTTATATGTATAAGGTATATATGAACCATAAGTGAATACTGTTCCTAGATTTAGCTCCATCTCCAGGATGTCTTGAATATGCAAATATTCTAAAACAAAAAAGCAAAAGTGCCAAGCATTTCAGATAGAGAGAGGAACCTATATTATGGAGAGAAGAAACTACTCATTAGTGAAGAAAAATAAAAACAAAAACAACAGAAAAATGGTGATTTGGTCACATCAGAATGAGTTGTTGGGGAACAAGAGCCCAGAGTCAAGTTTCTTATGGGTATTTTTGACCTTGTTGAGTCACAAGAAGTAGACACCATAGGAATCAAACTGGCATTCTTTCTATCGAGGGTGTGGAACTAGCTCTCATTTTGTAACACAGTGCCTGGGAAGCATTCTCAGGGTTTTATGAGTTAAATCATGGTTTTACTCAGTGCAAAAGTAGAAGCTGGGGGCCAAGACTCTGCTAGATTTTAGCAGGGGCTCTCTGTGACATAGGCTGTTCTCTCTATGATTTCAATCACCGCAGCTATGGAATATTCCTCCTTTGGTTACTTGTGACATTTTCTGAATCACTCCTTTCATACGTGCCTTTTGAGTTCTGTGTGTGAGAGCTTGTGTTTGTTTGCCTCTGCTCCACGGTTCTGTAGCCAGGGGCCATCTCTTCATAACTGTGGCTATGCAGTGCCTCCCGGAAGGCAGGACAGGACAGCAGTGAAGCCAGCGTGGCCCCAGAGCAGTTTCACAGCCTCCTTACTGTTGACGTTAGGCGGGTGATTGATTTTCTTTTGTGAGGGTCTATTCTGAACACTATAGGATGTTTAATAACATTCTGTTTGCTCGCTACTAGATATCAGTACATTATTTTCACACAGCTGTGACAGTTAAAATTTCTCTAGGCATTTCCAAATTTCTTTTGGGCAAAAATCACTCTTGTCTACCAAAAATTAGGTTATAGTCCTAGCTTTCCCTTTAATCTCATTGTTTTTGGTCAGATTGCTTCCTCTATAGGCCTTAAGATTTCCTCTGCTGAAACAGAGGGCTGGAATTTACTAGTACTTTTTCTGGGTTTTGTGGATAGCTTCAGGGCATTTTATTCCCTTGAAAAAGTAAACTTTGTAAATTTTTGTGTGGATAACACTTTCAGCTTTCAACGTTTCTCCCCTATAACCCAAAAAGGGCTAAACCAGATCCAAATACATAGTTACTGTGTAAAATTATTTTTATCTCTTAAAATAGAAAGTTTCAGCCTGGCTTGTGATGTACCCCTATAATTCCAACACTTGGGAGACAGAGGCAGGAGAATCATTGCAGGTTTGAGACCAGCCTGGGCTACAAAGTTAGCTCAAAGGCAGCCTGAACTGCACAACGAGACCCTGTCTCAAAAACACACACATACACACACAGAGTTCCTAATTTATGCTCAATATCATTTTTCCTTTATAAGTACATTTATGGTTATAAAATGATGAGAAACCACTTTGTGCCAGCAGTATCTGTTCTGTATTGGCAGGCGTCATTTACATACAGGTCTGTGTTTTCTACTTTTTAAAAATTGGTTCTTGGGGCAGTACTGACAAGGTAAATGAGTTACTGCAGCATATAAGAGAGTCTGGATAGTGCCAGCATGTTCATCATTTGGCATGCCTTAGCCTTGTTCTCTTAGCCTTTTCTCTTTCTCTCTCTGCCTCTCCCCCTCTCTGCCGTGCTTTCCTTTCCTTTTTTTCTTGGCCAGGATTTTGCTCTACAGTTCAGGCTGGGCTCCATCTTGCAACAGTTCTCCCATGTCAGCTTCCCGAGTGCTGGGATTACAAGGTGTGTGCCATCATGCCTGGCTCCTTAGCCCTGTTTTCCCCCTTACTCATTTATAACCAGCATTTCATCTGACTCTGCCAGTATGTTTGTCAGGGCTCCCATGTGTTGGCTGACCACTGCTGATGGGCTGCTCGTGTTTCTGGCCCTGAGTTGAGCTCTCAGGAAGCTTTGCCTAGGCTTGCAAGGTCCATTGTGCTTATTAGAGGTTCTCCTTAGAATTAATGCCTGCTCTGGCCTTCTGCTCCAAAAGATGTGCCTCTTGGACTGTTTATTTATTTATGTAGCTACAGTTTGGAGTTGCAGTTGCTGTTCAACAGGTTATGAATTATGATTTGTCTTGCTGTGTTGCAGGTGAATTTGGAAGGCAAAGCCAGTCCTCTGTCACTCCTGCAAATGGCCTCGCCAAGTGGCTTCTGCGTCTTGGTTCGCTTGCCCAGGCTGATCTATGGAGGCAAGATGCTACCAAGAACACTCCTGGATATTTTGGCAGATGCTACCATTTTGAAAGTTGGAGTGGGATGTTCAGAAGATGCCAGGAAGCTTCTGCAGGATTATGGCCTCATCGTTAGGGGGTGCCTTGACCTTCGATACTTGGCTGTGCGGCAGAGGTGTGGTTTATATGAATGCTGGGATTCCCATAACTTGGGGGCAAACATGTTGGCAAGATTTGTATACTACTAAGAATCAAAAGTGAAATATTTGAAATTCTTTACAAATGAATATTGAATTTATGAGGAGACATTTCAGTTTCTGAGAAAACTATCCTGAATTTTAATTTTTGTTTTGTTTTGTTTTGTGTTTTGAGACAGAGTCTTATTCATGTAGTCCAAGCTGGTCTTGCGTCTCACTTTGTAGCCCAGGCTGACCTCAGACTTAGGATCGTTTGCCTCGGGCTCCTATACCAGCATACTTGGCTGGTTCTTTCTTTTCTTTCCTTTTTTTTTTTTGGTATGGGGGGTTGAACTCACAACCTCGCACTTGCCAGGCAGGTGCTGTGCTGCTGAGCTGTATCCCCAGCCCCATTTTTAAATTTTCTTTTGAGATAGTGTCTCACTGTGCAGTTCAGGCTGGCCTAGAACTCCTGGCAGTCCTCTTGCTTCAGCCTCCTGAGTGCTGGAATTATAGGCATGTGCCGCCACGGTGGGCCTGACTGGTTCTTTTTTGATGAAACATTAATAATATATCCCTGTAAGTTACAAGTTATAAATTAATGGTCCCATTGTCTAAACTAGGACCATATGTTTTTAATTTTCTACATGAAAATTCTGCTTAAATCCAGGAAGATTTATTGTAAGCTTCTGTATTTCTGGATTCTTTTGAAGAAGTAGATGATCTAACTCCACTGATTCAAAGTTGTAGATGACAACAGTGGCCCAGGTATTGTCTTCTTTAGATGAATGTGCTTGATTTAATTTACCAAAGTCTCCATCACTTCCATGGTTACCCTGGCTCGTCCTGATGAGGAATTGAGTTTGCATATTCTGCCTTCAGCCAAAAATGATGATGATCTATCCCCTTGTTTTGGAGGAAAAGAGACTTCTCTTCCCTCTCTCTAATTTTTTTTTTTTTTAGACAGAATCTTGTTTTACAGCTCAATATCTTCTTGAATTTATGATTTCTTGGCCTGCCTTAACCTCCCGAGTGCTGGGAGCATAGATGTGTTGTATATCTACCTCCCTTTTCCTTAGAATTCTGTTCCTATGGAAATTATATTTCCACTTGTCTTTCTTGGAGAAGTGATCACAGTCACCTCCTCATTAGTGTGAACTGAAACAGCGTCTCACCTGTCTCAGGTGACACTGCCCTGAGGGTAGGAGGATTTGATACACTCAGAGAAGGCCTGATTGCAGTCTGTGCTTATCATCCTTTTTTTAGTGTACAATAAAATTTTACTTTGTTTGGTTTATATGCATAAAACTGTTATAAGTGAAGTATAAGTTTATTTTAATAATGCATTAAAAATTAGAATTCTGTAAAAGTGTTTGAAGCATAATGGCAAAAGTCCCCTCTCATCAGGCTCTTGCCTGTATGTGCAGGTTGAAGTTGACTCAGGAATACACAGGATGAGGGGGCTACAGGTGCTGCCACTTACTAACTGTATGCTCTTTAGCAAGATACTAACCTCTGTGTTCCTTAATTTCTATAAAGTAGCAATAGTAATGCTCCCCCCCAAAGGATTGGTGTGAGGAGTATATGAGTTAACTGTGTAAAGAATTCAGGAGCAGTAATGACATAGAAGTGCTGTATAAATTTTACCTGTGACTGTCATCATCGTCATTGTCACTGCACTTTTAGCATGACAGCTACCTGAATTTTTTTTGGTCCTTTTTGAGGTAGGATTTAACTATACGGTTCAGGTTGGCCTTGAACTCACTTTGTAGCCCAGGCTGGCCTCAAAACTCACGGAAATCTTCCTACCTCGGTGTCCTGAGTGCTGGGATTACAGGTGTGTGCCACCACACCCAGTTTTGATTGATTTTCCATCTAGACATCCAGATCTTTTTTTTCATGCATTTACAATCACCTGTATGAATGTCAAAAAATGGAAGGCACACTGATTTTTAATTTTTTGTGTTTTTTTTGGTAGTAAGTGCTAAACTCGTGTAGTCCATGCTGACCTACGCTCATTATTTTTAGGCAGAGTGTTGCTAAGTTACTCAGGCTGTGCTTGAACTTGCAGTCCTTTTGCTTTAGCCTCCCAGAGTGCCACCATTGTGTGCCACCATGCCTGCTGAATTGTTTGACTAAATGAAGAATAACCAAGGGTCAAAGTAAGAATTTGGCCAAAAAAAATTTTTGGCCAAAGCTGAATGTTACCACAAACTTCTGTAAATGAAAATAAAACTTTTTGAGTTTGATTTGTGGTACCAAAAAAAAAAAGAAAGAAAAGAAAAGAACTTCTAGGGTCAGGTGCAGTGGCACATGCTTCTAATCTCAGCTACGCAGGAGGCTGAGACAGGAGGATCACAAATTTGAGGGCAGTCCAGGCAATTTAGTAAGACTATCTCAAAGTTAAAAATAGGGGGTATACTGTGAGGCCCTGAGTTCAAAATAGAAATCTTTATCAGGCCTTTCCTTTTTAAATGAGACTTCATCAATATTTTAAAAATTGTCTTTTATTGAGCATTTTAATAGTAAAATTTAAAAATTCTAAGTGCAAGAAATTTGACTTTATAATTTAAAAGTTATACTTAGTGCTATTAGCTAGTTGATTGCTATTGCTATTTGAGACCGGGTTTTTCTGGGTAATTAAGGCTGGCCTTGAACTCACTACATAGCCCAAGTTCACGTTAAACTTGAGATTATCTTCCTGACTCAGCCTCCTGAGTGCTGGGAGTACAGGCATACACCAGCATCCTGGACTTGTTTATTTTTTTAATAGTCCGTTAGTTGAAATGCAGTGCAGTCTTTGGACTGATTAATTTTTTTTACTGTGTTGCAACAATTTTTATTTTTTTTCCTGGCAGCAGTTTTAATCAGCAAGTTTTAAAGAGCAGGAAGAATAGGGCTAGGGTTAGGATTTAGGATTATGGTTAGTAATGTTACCTCTTCAATAAAAACAGAGAGGTCTTTCTTTTTTTTTTTTTTTTTTTTTGGTACTAGAAATGGAACTCATGACTGCATGCTTACAAGGCTTATGCTTATGCTGCTGAGCTAAATCCCCAGCCCCTTCAATAAAAATAGCTTTATTGTTTTTCACGTTTAAGAAGTAAGGCATGATATCATTGAGGGGCACTTAAACTGTTTGCAATTTTTCTCTCCTATAAATAGTGCTGTAGCATAGGTTACTTTATGTACCTTTGAGGTAGGATTTCACTGTATGGTCAGGCTGGCCTTGTCCTTACGATAAATTTTCAGAAATGGACTTGCTGGATCATATAATTTTTATATTGAAATTTTTGATAGCTATTCATTATTAAATTATTTTACATAAAGCTTTTAAAAATGGAGAGTTCACAGCTGGGTATGGCAGTTCAGGTCTGTAAGCTCTGCACTCTGGGAACCTGAGGCGGTTGCAGCCCAGTAAATGCAACTTAGTGAGGCCTTGTCTCAAAATAAATAAAAAGGTCTGAGAATGTAGCTTAGACTCTGGGTTCCACCTCCTGTGCCAGCCACGTACACACACACTCACATGCAAAACACTATTCACAAATTTTAGATGAAATGACCTGATTTGTCTTTAGTCTGTTGATATTAGGTATAGATTTGTTTTTGTTCTGGGAATCGAACTCAGAACCTCATGTTTGCCAGGCAGGTGCTGTGCCACTGAGCTTTTTCCCAGACTAAATATAGGTATTTTTAAAAAACCTTTGCAATCTCATAATTAACAAATTATTGTTTTCTTTGATGTCTAGTGATTATCTGTCTTCTGTTTATTGGTCATTTATACATTGGTATGTATTTTCCTGTTTGTGTCCTTTGCCAGTTTTTGATGCATGGTTTATTTCTTACAGAAACTTGCTCTGCAGTGGGCTCAGCCTGAAATCACTCTCCGAGACTGTCTTGAACTTTCCTCTTGACAAGTCCCTTCTGCTGCGTTGTAGCAACTGGGATGCTGAGAATCTCACAGAGGACCAGGTACTCATCAGAGTAAAAGAGCTATTGCCTCTGCAGTATAATTGTTTTTAAAATTCTAATCTTCAAATATGGTATAAGTATTGGGTAGAGAAGCCTTAATGAAGCTAATGGTAATGTAACTGCTCTAATATCGCTTGTATGCTGCTTAAACAGTAGTAGTCTATTACGTTTTACTTGTTTAATCACTTATTATTTGCCAAGCATTTCAGAAAAATCTATAATTTTTTTTTCAGTACTAGGGATTGAACCATGGCCTTGAGCCAAGCGCTCTATCACTGAACTACATCCCCAGCCATTTTTAAACTGCATTTGAGATACAGTCTAAGTTACTAAAGCAGGCCTAAAACCTGTGAACTTCCTATCTCAGCCTCCCAAAAAGCTAGTATTACAGGCATGTAATACTGAACCAAGCAAAAAGTATAATTTCTACAAAAACTTTTAAAAATCATTTGTTGGCTCATGGGTTTATCTTTGTAGTAGAGTGTTTGCCTAATGTGGGTAAGGCCTTAGGTTTGATCTCAATACAACCAATCAGTCATGGTACAATGTTACAAGAGTTATTATAAGAAACAGTAGTTTCTTTCCTTACTCCTCCTATTCCTAATCCTTCTTGCTTCTCAGAGGCAACCCCTTTAGTTTCTTTCTGGTAGTTACAAGTATATTTGTTTTCTTTCCTTTTTTTAAAAACCTGTTTCTTTTTCCAACTTTTTAAAATTAATTTTATTGGAGTATTTTAGATATACATAATAACATTCATCATACAGCATTTGTACCTGTACATGATACATCTTTTTTTATTTTTTTGGTAATGGGGATCAAACTTAAGACAGTTGAGCTTAGCAGGCAAGTGGTTAAGCTGCTGAGCTAAATCCCCAGCCCTATATAATAGATCTTGATTCTTCTTCTTCTTTTTTCCCCATTTTTCTCTTTCCTTCAACCCTTCTTCCCCTCCTTATTTACAAAAGCTTTGTTTCTATTTTTCCTTCTATTCTTCTTATTTGTTTTCCTTTCCTTTCTTTCCCCTTTCCTGGTCTAATACACATTTTCATCCTTATTTACCCTTGCATTTTCTCACACCAAAGAAGTCATGCAATATTTACACATATGTATCCTATTTATTTCACTTAAGAGAATGGTCTCCATGGTCATTTGTCTAGAAATGTCTCAAGTTTCTCCTTTATAGTAGAGTAGTACTCCATTGTATTAAAAAACACATCTTCTTTATCCATTCATTTGTTTATGAACATTTGGAGTGTTTTCAAGATTTGGTTTATGAACTGTGCCACTATATATGGGTGTGCATATATCCTGTGGTATGATGGTTAATTCTTTTGGAAGAATATCAAGAAGGGGAATACCTGGGTCAAATGGAACCTCTCTAGGTTTAATTTTTGAGAAATCTCCACACTGATACCTGCAGTGGTTGCACCAGTCTACACACCCACAAAAGGTGGAGAAAGGTTCCCTTTTCCACACAAGCCCACCAGCATTTGTTATTGGTTGATTTCTTTTTTTGCGGTACCAGGGATCAAACTCAATACCTCACGCTTGCCAGGTAGGTGCTTACGCCACTGAGCTAAATCCCCAGTCTTGGTTTTCTTGATAATAGCCATTCTTTCTGGAGTGAGATGGATGCTCAGTGTTTTAATTTGCATCTCTAAATGAGCAGTGATGTCAGACTTTTTTTTTCTTTTTTTTGCTATTTCTACTGCTTCATCTGACAAGTTTTTGTTCATTTCAGATGCACAGTTTTGGATTGGGTCTTTAAATTTGGGTAGGGTCTGATTTTTTTGAGTTATTTATATAGCCTAGAGATTTGTTCTATGAGGAACAGCTGGCAAAAACTTTGCCCACTCTGTCGGTTTTCTCTTCATTCTGTTGATTGCTTTTGCTGTGCAAAAGCTGTTTGGTGAGATCCCAGTTGTTGATTGTAATATTTCTTTTGCAGTCTGGATTTTGTTCAAAAAATCTTTGCCTGTACCAGTGTCTTCAAGAGTTCTACCTATTCTATCTTCCAGCAGATTTAGTGTTTCTGTTTTAATATTTAGATCTGTGATGCATTTCAATTTTAATTTAGTGCATGATGAAATATATGGATCTAGTTTTAATCTTGGGCATGTGGAAAGCCGGTTTTTCCAGCACCATATTTAGAGAGGCTGTCTTCCAGTGATGATGTTTAACCCCTTTGTTAAAGATAAGATGATTGAATATGTTTCTGTATGTTCTAGTCTATTCCACTGATCCTCAAGTCTGTTTCTTTTTTTTTTCTTTTTTTAGTATTTTTATCACTGTAGCTTTGTTGTATGATTTCAAATCAAGGATTTTGATACCCTCTGCATTGCCTTGGTTGCCCAGAATTGCTTTTGCTATTTTAGGTGTCTTCTAATTCCAAATGAATTTTAGGAATGTTTTCTCTCGTGGTACGAGACATACTGCTGGTATTTTGATTGAGATAGGATTAAATCCATATAACAGTTTTGAGAGTATGGCCATTTTTACTATACCTAAGAACAAGGAATATCTTTCTATTTTCTGATATTCTCTTCAATCTCCTTTTTCAGAGTACTACAGTTTTCAATATTGAGGTCTTCTACTTCCTCTGTTAGTTTGATATCTTAAGTATTTCATTTTTTTTTTTTTGGATGCTGTTGGGAAAGGTACTGTTTCCCTAATTTCTGTCTTAGTGAGTTTGTTATTCATCTATAGGAATGCTGTTGATTTTTGAGTATTGACTTTGTATCCAGCTACTTTGCTGAATTTGATTATTAAATCTAGGAACTTTCTGGTGGAGTTTTAGGTCTTATATGTAGAATATAATGTTATACCGGGGATTTAGCTCAGTGGCATAAGCACCTGCTTTGCAAGCGCGCAGTCATGAGTTTGATCCCTGGTACAAAAAAAAAAAAAAAAAAAAAAAATATATATATATATATATATATATATATATATATATATATATTGTTATCTGCAAATAACAATAGTTTAACTTTTTCCTTTCCTATCCTTATTTCTTATATTTCTTTCGTTTGTCTAACTGCTCTGGCTAGTGTTTCCAAAACTATATTGTTTAAGAGTAGTAACAGAAGACATCCTTGTCTTGTTCCTGATTTTAGGAGATACTTTTCAGTTTTTGTCTATTTAGTATGATGTTACTGCTGGTTTGTCACAGATGGCTTTAATCAGATTGTCATAAAGACCATCTACTCCAGTATTCTGTGGGGTTTTTATGATGAATGGGTGTTGGACTTTGTCAAATGTTTATTCTGCATCTATTGAAATGATCATGTGTTTTTTTGTCCTTAGTTCTGTTAATGTGGTATAACTGTTAGTGTGGTGTATTACATTTATTGATTTGTGTATGTTGAAATACCCTGTATCCTTTGGATGACTCCTACTTGGTCATGGTGTATAATCTTTTTGATGATTTGCTGCATTCTGTTTGCCAGTATCTTACTGATTATTTTTGCATCTTGTCTTCACTAGGAAGACTGTTAGGTCTGTTTTTCAGTTGGATCCCTCTTTGGTTTTGGTATCAGGATAATGCTTACTTCCAGAAATGACTTTGGGAGTATTTGGTTCCTTTTCAATTACATTAAAAAGTTTGAGAAGTAGTGGGATTAGACCTTCTATAAATTTCTTGTATAAATCACCAATGAATCCATTAGCACCTGGGCTTTTCTTTGTTGGTAGGTTTTTTATTTTGTTTTGTTTTGGTACTGGGGATTGAACTCATGACCTTGTGCTTGTCAGGCAGATGCTTTTGCTGCTGAGCTAAACACCTGGCTCTGTTGGTAGGTTTTTAATTACATCTTCAATTTCATTGACTGATATTGGGTTGTTTAGAATGTTTATATTTTATTGATTCACCTTTGGTAATTCATGTCTTAAGAAATTTGTCCATTTCTTATGTGTTTTCCATCTTATTAGAATATAGGTTGTCAAAGTATGTATTAATTATCTTCTGGATTTCTGCAGGATCTGTTGTGATTTTATCCTTTTTGTTCTAATTGCATGGATTTGAATCTTTTCTTTCCTTTTTTTGTGGTTGAGGTTGGCTACAGGTTTGTCAATTTTATTTAATCTTTCAAAGAAATAACTCTTTGATTCATTGACTGTTTGTATTATTTTGTTAGTCTCCATTGCATTAATTTCTGCTTTAATTTTTATAATTTCTTCCCTATATGACCTTTGGGTTTGACTTGATTTTCTTTTTCTAGAAGCTTGATGTTCAATATTAGGTTATTTATTTGAACACATCCTGGTTTTTGGTTTTCTGATGCGGGAATTTACTACTATAAATTTGCCTCATAGGACTGCTTTTATTGCATTCGTTTTGGGGGGCTGGGGTACGGGAATTGAATCCAGAACCTCATGCTTGCTAGGCAGGCACTGCTGTTGCATTCTTTTGAAAGAGAAAAACTGTACAAGAGAAATTGTTCCTTCTTTTGTACGTGGGATCGAACTCATGACTGTGTGCTTGCAAGGCAGGCACTTATGCCACTGAGCTAAATCTCCAGCCCCTGAGAAATTGTTCTTTCTAAAACTTTGTTTTTTTGAAACTGCCTAGCTCTGTTACTACGTCATGGCTTTGTAATTACTGTCTTGACCTCTGTAACCACGAGCATATAACCATTCAGGTTTGGCTAATTATACTTGTTTTAGTTACTTTATGCTTGTCCCTGAGACAAAATACATGAAGCCCAAAGTTGGGAAAGGAAAGGTTTATTTCTTACAGTTTTTGGAGGTTTCAGTCCACACTCAGTTGGCTCCAAGACAGGCAGGCATGGCTGGGCCGCAGTTCATGGTGGCTGCAAACAGCAAGCGGGAACCATCAAAGAGCAAGACACACCTTCTTCCTGTCATTACATCACATCCTGGCTCCACCCCTATGTGGGTGGAGCACTGACACCATCAATCCAAGCACTAGACAATGAACCTATCACAAATACACAATGCAAGCTCATGAGGCCTGGAGGACACAGGCATAAACCATGACATTC